GCTCTCTCCATCATCGTATCCGTCCGTCTGTCCAGTGTCCGTGGTTTGGTGAGAACGGGGAGTTTCTGGAAATTTCTGTCCAGGTGCCAGCACCTGTCTGACAGTGACATTCACTCTGGAGCTCTGGATGTACCTGGAGCAGACAGCCCATTCCTCCTCGGACACCGGCTCCACCACGGAGCCTTCCTGTGGTGGGGGGGTCTGGATGCTTCCCCCCGTCTCTAATGCCAGACGCCCCGGAGGTGCGGGGAGGATTCGTGGGACTGCGTGGTACAGAAGGCGGCTGGGCCCTGACATCACCATCACGTCCCCACTGTGCATGAGCATGGCTGTGGGGGGGTCCTGTCTGCGGGGGCCGCCCAGGAGAAAGATGGCTGACTGACCAAAACTGTAAAGACAACACGGAAAAACAGGGAATTCAAACATGTCCTTCGCATAACGACGGTGAAAAAACAAGCGTCCCACCTAAACGACAGCAGCGGTCGAGTGTGGTCCAGCTCCGACTCGTCCACGTGGATTCCCAGAGAAGAGTCTGATCGGTAATAGTTGAGGATTCCCGCTTCCGAGATAAAGCCAGGGAAGCCGCAGGCAGCTGTCATGTGAGCGGAGAGGAGGTGGAGGTCACGTGGGAAAGGAGTGTGACTGCTGGGAGAGTACGTCTGCAAACAGGAGGGGAGGAGTGAGATGAAGAGAAAGGGCACCACAACAGACCGTGGCAAACGTTTGCTCTGAAACCGTCCCCGCCTGTGCTGCTGGAGGAGCAGCAGCGAAGAGGTGAAGCAGATTCTCACCTTTGTGTCCCAGTTGTAATGATAGCCCAGCGTGACCCAGCGCAGCCGCTCCAGGAGAGTCCGCGCTTCTCGTTTTCCAGCCGGAGAAGATCTGCGGATCAAAGTTTTACATATTGTGTTATTTCTTAAATCGGTAGATCTGGAACACATCGCATTGTTAAATAGTCTGGTCTGTTCCTGTACTGGAGCAACTGTAACCCACATAATTTCCTTAGGGATCAGTAAAGTATGCTGATTCTGAAATAGGTTAAAGAGGAAGACGAGGGCACACAGTTTGTTCAAAGATCTGACAGCAGCTGAGCTCCCCAAACCTGCAAACAACAGCAGACCTTAAAACAGCGCCACCTGGTGGCACTGAATTCATTAGACACTGCAGCAGTCGAGCACCAAGGATTTTCAGTAATTAAACACTTGAGTTGCTTTTCCTTGCATAAAATAGGAAACAGAGGCTCCGAGGTTTTGTTTGCACTCTCATAAACACTAACCCTTCCTCACTTTTTCACTTCACTCTCAGCTTTCACAGCAGAAGGTCACAAAAAGCAGCTGCTTGACACCAACGATGGCAATACGAACATCAGGTTAAAGAAACAATCTGCGCTCCTGTCAACATCAGCGGAACGTCAGGTGAATGTCAGAGGAATTGTCGGGGGAACATCAAAGGAACATTTGGGAAAAATCTGAGGAACATTGGAGAAATGTCTGAGGAACGTTCGAGGAACATTGGGGGAAGATCAGAGGAATGTTAGAGGAATGTTGGGGGAAGATCAGAGGAATGTTAGAGGAATGTTGGGGGAGAAAAAGCGGCATTTTAAACGGGGTCATTTGCATAATTTGAGGATTTGGAAGAAGCGAAACGGTTTGAAAATCAGCTGTAAACTCAGAGCTCTGATGGTCTTTAGCCATGCTCAGACCGCCACCTCCAAACACGCACACATGACCAGGCGCAGATACACCTGAGCAGCTGGTGGCTGTGGTGGCGTCGCAGTGACCCCTGCTGGTAGTAGACTGTTTACCTTCATCGGGAGGTCGAGCTCCTCCTGCTGTGACCTGTGCAGCACGTACCTGTACACACCTGTGAGTCTCACCTCAGGCTGTGCACGCTCTGTCCCCAGATGTCCTGAGTCTCTAAGGGGGACATGTGCATGTCCAGGTTGCAGATGTTTGGTTTCTGAGGGTAAATCTTCAGACACTGTCGGAGCCAGAACGGCTGCGTGCCGCGAAGGAATGGATCGGAGATGAAGATGAACCCTGGACGAGGAAGAGTACAGAATCATCATCATCATCATCATCCTCGTGTACCCAGAGCACTAAACTCGGTCCAGTTCATGGGCCATCTTCAGATGAAGCATTTGTTACCTGCTTCAGATGAAGCAGGTAACAAAGACATAAAGCAGCTCGTGTGTTCAGCAGCAGGCCACAGCAGAGTGAATGCAGAGCATCGTCTTCATCCAGCGAGGACTCACTGGATGAAGACGATGCTGACATTACGTTCCCAGTGGAGAGCCAATCAGAACTGTCCATTACAGTCGAGACCATTCTACTGAGCTAGACTAAAAACACTTCAGTTCCTGAAACATGGAAAAATGAGACCAACTCTCAGTAACCTGCCTCAGAGCCGGCTTCTCCCTACGCTTTACCTCACAGTACGAGGCGCCGCGAGGCAACTGTCGCTGTTATTTGGTTCTTTACAGCCGGACTGAATTGAACCAGACCGCACGCATCCAAACTTTATTTAAACTCTGACGTGAGCGTGTACCTGGGTGTCCTCGCAGGCCGAAGGCTCGCCACTCTCTGACGGGCTGTAATCCGACTCTAGTGGCTTCCACATCGCTCACCGCGGCGGTGTCGAGGTTAACTGGAACAATCTATACACACACACACACACACACACACACACACACACACATCATTAGCAGACGTCAGGGTTGTAAAATCATTTTCACTCAGGTGCTGTCTGCACCTGTTCTTCAGCAGACCTGAACCAGTCCACCTTCAAACTTCCCTCTGTGACACACAGTCATCGGTATGATCGATGAAATAATCGATCCAGGTGAGTTTGATCAGAAATGAAAGTGGACAGATGAGGGCAGGTGGAGGTAACCTGTGGAACTGTTCACTTTGTTGGTCAGAGAAGTCAAACTTCAAACTAGGGCTGCTCAATTAATCGAATTTTAATCACGATTACGATCTGGGCTTTCAACGATCATTAAAAATGACAGAGCCGATTATTAGCCCCTCCCTCATTTATCCGCGACACCTTAAAGGCCGGTCCGTGAAAATATTGTCGGGCATAAACCGGTCCGTGGCGCAAAAAAGGTT